GGGTTTGATGGTTTGGTACCTGAGAATATGTCGGATTTAACATGATTTAACATGATTTAAGGCACCAATTTTATTGGGCTTCACGTGGATTTCATCAACAGAAATGGGGATGACAAATATCATGGTTTTGTCTGAAAATGGAGTACCCCAATTCCAAGGGATTGTCATAATGTTTTCCGTTAAAATAACAATTTTTGGGGATATCCCATTTTCAGATCAAGCCACATATCCCTTCTTGCTGTGGTTGTGCTTCCTCTTCGACTCTCAGTCAGAAGCGCACGTTGAAAAATGGTGCTTAATGGTGATGGCCCCCAGTTGTAAGTTTGCAACTTCCTTTACCCTCTGGTAAACTAACATAGCTGTTGAAAATCACCATTTTTGGTGGGTAATTCAACTATAAATGGCCATGTTCAATAGCTATGTTAAATTACCAGAGGGTAACATCCTTGAACTACTTCGATAATGTTCGATATATCTATCATAGACCCACGAGTTTTTTTTTGAGTTCGCCGGATCTCGGCTGAAGAGCCGAGCTTATTTTACCCAAACGTTCATCTTGTTCGTGGTCTGGTTGACCGCCAGGAGGCTGATTTGCTGCAATACTCTCAAACCTTGGGCGACCTGGCTGGGATTTCGTCATGGAATCGCTGGGATGTTCATCACCTCCCAACATATAGCATAGTTGTTGATCCACCCTCATATCATGGGAAATAATGGGATTGATAGAACTATGAATATAACTATCTATATCTATCTCTATCTCTGTCTCTATAACTATCTATCTATCTATCTAATCTAATCCAATCCAATCTAATCTAATCCAATCCTATCTAATCTAATCCAATCTAATCCAATCTATCCAATCTATTCAATATATCCAATCTATCCAATCTATCCAATCTATCCAATCTAATCTAATCCAATCTAATCCAATCTAATCCAATCTAATCCAATCTATCCAATCTATTCAATATATCCAATCTATCCAATCTATCCAATCTAATCTAATCCAATCCTATCTAATCTAATCTAATCCAATCTAATCCAATCTATCCAATCTATTCAATATATCCAATCTATCCAATCTATCCAATCTATCCAATCTAATCTAATCCAATCTAATCCAATCTAATCCAATCTAGTCCAATCTATCCAATCTATTCAATATATCCAATCTATCCAATCTATCCAATCTAATCTAGTCCAATCCTATCTAATCTAATCTAATCCAATCTAATCCAATCTAATCCAATCTAATCCAATCTATCCAATCTATTCAATATATCCAACCTACCCAATCTACCCAATCCATCCAAACTACCCAATCTATCCAATCTATCCACTCCATCCAATCTATCCAATCTATCCAATCCATCCAATCTATCCAACCTACCCAATCTACCCAATCTACCCAATCTACCCAATCTATCCAACCTACCCAATCTATCCAATCTATCCAACCTATCCAATCTATCCAACCTATCCAATCTATCAAATCTATTCAATCTATCCAATCTATCCTATCCTATCCGATCCAATCTATCCTATCCGATCCTATCTATCCTATCCTATCCTATCCTATCCTATCCTATCCTATCTATCCTATCCTATCTATCCTATCCTTTCCTATCTATCCTTTCCTATCTACCCTATCCTATCTATCCCATCCTATCCTATCCTATCCTATCCTATCTTATCCTATCCTATCCTATCCTATCCTATCCTATCCTATCCATCTATCTATCTGTCTGTCTACCTATCTATCTATCTATCTACCTATCTACCTATCTACCTATCTACCTATCTACCGATCTAGCGAACTACCTAATCAAATCTACTCTACTCTACTCTAATCTAATCCTATCTAATGCTATCTAATCCTATCTAATCCTATCTAATCCTATCTATTCCTTTCTATCTGTCTATCTATCTATCCATCCATCTATCCATCTATGTATCTATTCATCTATTCATCTCTTCATCTCTTCATCTCTTCATCTCTTCATCTCTCTATCTATCGATCTATCGATCTATCGATCTATCTATCTACCTATCTATCTATCTGTCTATCTGTCTATCTGTCTATCTGTCTATCTGTCTATCTGTCTATCTGTCTATCTGTCTATCTGTCTATCTGTCTATCTGTCTATCTATCTATCTATCTATCTATCTATCTAATTTCCATTTGGGTGCAGTTGGCTGTTGGCTCTTGGAATTTTGAGGTGTTTTGGAATCAGAGAGGACGTGGCACATGATTTTCAAGCGACAGCCTTATTTAATTGAAATGGACGATATTTGGGTTTCGATTCCCGAGTCCCAACCGTTGCAAGCATTGCAATCATAAATAAATCCATGCACAACACCATTGATAGTTGATCATCCTATTCACTGGCGCTTAGTGGCAACACCGGAAATTCCATCTGGATCTTCGACGAGGTTCTGGGGCAACTTAGCTGTATGTAAAGCAGACCCCACGGCAAACCATCACCAAAGCCACTATTAAAATTAGATTATGTTGTGATCCTCATTTCTGTTGATGAATCCACTTAAATCCCTATTTTGGTTGGTGAAATCATGTTAAATTCCCCAGTTTCAGGTGCCAAACCTGCCATCTCATCCCATCTCTAAGCCATCTCTAAGGAGTAGATCTTCAGCAGCACTCGGATCTCCTATGGGTCGTTCAGGAGGCCCACGAGCCCGACTCGAGGAGGGACTCAGGGTGAACAGTTGACATGCCGCCGGTGAGGCCTTTAATGCGCCTCTTCCATTGAGTTGGACCGAATACACCGACGATGAAGGAAGGGTCTATTTCTTCAATCAGGACGGGATGGAACGGTGATGGTTGGGGCAGATCATGCCTGCGATTTCTGAAAAAAGGTCCTGAGGGCGAGTTTACCCTCCGTAGTCAAACGGTCAAACGTGGCGGGTTGGGAAATCCCCTGCAAATGGAGGTGTTAATGGGAAAATCATGGAAGTAAATGGAGGATTTTCCAGCAAGCCATGTTTGATTACCAAAGGGTATGGTTTTTTAAAGCCAGAATGGGTCATTTGCCAAAGCAGAATGGGTTTCCATGCGTCGCTTAAGCCTGGTGGATTTACCTTTCAATGCGCCCAAAGGGCGAGCCAGAAACCCCGAATTGATCTGGATGTGCAGCCCGTCCTTACACTGATCATGATACACAAGTGAAGCATCATTTTTTGGGCGATCATCCCAAAATCACTAAAGGTTTGAGCTTGGTGCTTGGGGTTTCACATTCTTGCAGGATCACTCCATACATCGTAAATGGTGATTGTTGGTGACACCAGCCCGTGTCTCCTTTTTTTTCGGACCACCCTGCTGTTTTTTCCAGCACAGCTATATGTGGCCCTAATGTTTTTTTGACGAAGATATTATCATGTTCAGCCACTTATTTCAATGGCAGAACCCGGTAATCGGGGACTCATGATCACCAGGGTTATTCATCCTCAGGTCCAAGGACCACCTGTGGATCATGGGATTTCTACCTCAACCATTCCATTGACAAGAGGAATATATCCTCCAAGTTGCGTAACATCCATTTTTCTTGTTGCTTGTACCAGCTATAATTTTCCTTTAATTGCTGCTTAAACTAGACTATTTTTCCCATTTTAGCCAATCCACATATTTTGGCTTAAAAGATGATCAGCTATTAATCCACATTTTCCCATTAGCCAATCCCATTGAGATGAGCCAATTTCTTCCTGGTTTTAAACGGTGAAACCTCCCATGCTTCGCCAAACTCCGCCAGTCTTCCAGCCAAAGCACCTGGGAACATCCCATGGACAGCGTCTACCGGGAACTCCTCAGTGGGGGCTCAGAGATTTTCAGCAAAAACCCTGGGATTTTTTTCAGCAAAAATAAGCCTTAGACCAATCAGGGTTTAACTGAAGTCATGGGGAGATCTCCCAAGTCACCATTTTTGGAGATCCCAGTCGTCACCATGAGTGTTTCAATTCTATGGTTTGACTTGGATGATTTGGGATAGCCCATTTTAGGAAGCCTCCAATGGCGATTTAAGCAACAGAATTTGTGATTTGTGACTTAACTAAGCAGCAAAAATATGGGGATTTCAGGAACAAGGAAGGACATGTTGGATTGAAACGCAATGAACATTGCGATTCAAGCAACACAAGCTGGGATTTCACCACAAAAACACATGGTGATTCAAGTAGCAAACATGGGCTTTTCGGCAAACCATTTGATGGGAACCCCAGCGATGAAAATAGATACTTACAAAGCTATGTTGAATTTGTAAACGAAGATGTAGTGGGGTGAAAAGACGCTGGCTTTGCTGACAAGAGTCTTGGATGGCAAGATATTATGAGATTTCATTCAATGGAATATATATATAATATATATATATATATCCAATATATAATATATTCTATGTTCTTTAATGTGCCATTCCATCATACATGTCCCCGTGCATAACAGCAAGATGATTGGTCCATTTATTTCAAGTGGGCATTCAAAGTCTACTTAGTCTATACATACTCAAAATTGGCATTCTTTTCCACCCATGTTTGCAGCTTATTCGCACTATTTCAAAGGCATTACCATGTAACTTACTATTGAATGTAGCAACTTTCCCCTTGTTGAACAGGGTTGCTCCACCTGGTAGATGATACCCTCAAGGGGGAGAAATATGTCATACTCACCTGGCTGTTGGCGGCAACATATTCCACTATTCAGAATTATTTAGCAATGTAGACATAAACATCTATGAAAAGAAATGTTGCGCAACACTAATTATTGTGTCTCCCAATTTCTGTCGAGCCATGAATGTTTTCAATGGGAATTCCAGGATCCTAAAATGGAGGTACTGTACCATATAAGGCCATATTTTGGGTGTATATCCCCTTACATAGGCCTTACATAGGCCTTACATAGGCCTTATATATGGTAGGTACCTCCAATTTAGGTTCCTGAAATGGCCATTGATGTTTTTTTTCACAAATTCTGGTGGAATGGAATCTGGCAGCTTTGGCTCACACGCCTCGCCACGACAACGAAGACGGAGCCATGGGATCCGCCGCGAGCAGCGCTGCGGCGGCGGCCACAGCGCCGTGGCACGAACGACTTTTCGTTTGGGGATGGTTAGAATCCAAGGTTTAGTCATATGTAGATGATATATATATATATATACATACATACATATATATATATATAGAACGGGCATTTCTATGCATTTGTCTGTGGGATATACAAAAATAGCAACAAAATTGGGCTTAGCCTCTGGCAGCCACAGCCGGCTCAATGGTGGATGTTCCAGCCTAAATCCATTTCCCTATCATTTGATGGCCATGAAGGGGGTGATAAATTCCATATGTTGAACATAAAACTACAGGAACTACCTGGTAAGTTACTGTTTTGAAAGGGATGACATCTTCGTTGGATGTTATTCTCATTTGGACTATGATGATGAATCAGTGGATTTTTCGGTCAACTCCCTCCAAATTCTCTGGAGAAACCCATGTGTATGCAAGGAAAAACGTATTCAAAAGCCATGTTGGGGTTCCATCCCAGTTTTTATGGGTATCACTGCCATCTGAACTATCCATGATATCCTAGTAAGTATAAATCGAACTATATTCCCTTTAGTTATGTACCATTCTTAATTTTTCCTATTAAAAAGAACCACTATAAAACCCATTAAGACATATTACAACTATATTTACAACCCATCAAATAGCCCCGGCCCAAGGAGCAGGAGCTGACCGATGCCTTGAAGAAGTTATCCCCTGAGGAGCTGGCCAAGCTGAAGACAGCGCTGGGCGGTACCAAGGTGGTCGTGGCTGCTCGGCGGATAATCATGGTTTGAATTATCGACAAAGTGGCCATGATTGCCCTCTGGTAATTTAACATAGCTATTGAAAATTGCCATTTATAGTGAATTTTCCCATTAAACATTGATAACATGGTGATTTTCCATAGTTATGTAAACGTTTACCAGAGGGTAACCATAGCTATGTAACAAATAACCAGATCAACGGTGAAATCAACATACTGGCTGTCTCCTTTTCGGATCCATGGTGGATCGATGGGGGTTATGATGTGATATGACGAGTTATTATTTTCTTCGTTCCGTAGATTTTTTTAGTTTTTTGCTTGGCAAAAAACATCAAATGATCAAATATCAAGGAACGAAAATGCCAAGCAAAATGATGAAACATTTTTTGATTTTTTTTTCCAGGAAAATATCAAGGTTCTCCAGCATTTTCAGCTAATGATGTTCCATAGCAGCATGGAACACCCCAAAAATGGCAAGTTCCAACAAGCAGTGTCATCCCCAGGGCTCCATGGGTAGCCCAAGAATATCCCCAAGAATATCGCATAAAAGATAGATGGTGTACGATGATTTCAACAAGGATTTCACCCATAGCCTCTGGTTATTCAACACTATGGTCTAGATGATTCAAATAGATCTGGTTGGTGGTTTGGAACATGAGTTTTATGACTTTCCATATATTGGGAATAATCATCCCAACTGACGAACTCCATCATTTTTCAGAGGGATTGAAAGCACCAACCAGAGATGGTTTATGATTATTTTACCAATGATCATCTTCCTTATGGGACAGATCTCCTGGTCGGTGGTCAGGTCGGCTGGGGCCCAGTGGGCCATGCAGTGGTGACCAAGTTATTGGCCAAGAGTGCTGGAGCCCTAAAGATCAGCGTCATCAGCGAGGAACGTGAAAACATGGGAAAACCATGGGAAAACATGGAAAAAAACATGGGAAAACGTTGGAAACAAATGGGAATCACATGAGATTTGAACCGTCAAAACAGGGGCAGCTAAGGAAAACATGGGGATTTCATCAAAAGTGGGGATTTCAGCCACGAAATACAGGGATTTACCCAGGAACTTTGGGGATGGGGATTTTACGAGCGGAGCGGAGCCAATGAAGAAAGAATGGCAATTTTAGCGTAGTTTAAGCATCCCAGAGGGTAAGTTCAGCAAGAAAATTTGGGAACGAAGCAAAAACTCAAAAACTGGGTACGTTTCCGGTCACACCCCGTTGGACCACGCGCCGCCTCTTGGCTTGGCGGGCGAAAGGAGAGTTATCCTGCTTACAACAGAGTGAAGTTGAGCAGCTTCTTCGAGCACCGAGACCCCAACAAGTTGGCACTCAGCAGAGTCCCGGCAAAGAGCTGCACTGCAAGGGTTGGGGTTGAGGCAAAGGGGTTGGAAAGGTTGGAAGTTACCTGTCTCGAAGATGTTTTCTGAGCTGGTGAGGCCCTGAACAATGGGGTATAGAGTTGAAAGACAAGACCAACACATCATGTTTTCGGACCCAAAGTTGCTGCTCAATTCTTGAGAGCTCATGAGTAAACCAACGCAAACACGATGCAGCCAGCCGAAATGGGGATATAGCAGGCGAAAGTGGGTTCCTTACAAAATCAAATGACAAAACAAGTAGATTGAGTGGTATTGTTTGCATTGTTTGTTGACAGACCCCTTTGCTTGGTTCGATCACAAAGCTTTGCAAAATACAGCATTTTCTTCATTAAAGACATGCTGTCCGAATTTAAAATTTAGCTTGGTGACATGTGCAGTGTTATCAGTGTTATCTTGCTCAAACTTAAGCCAACTTTTTAAATCCCGGTCAAGTCACCCTTTTCTATCCTTTTCTTAGTTCAGCCCACATTTCTGCTGATTTAAAATCACAACTTTCTTGCTCACTCTGCTTGGTTCAATCTCTATTACTATTTTTACCAATGTTCACCATGTTTGATCCACTTTCATCCCATCTTCTTGCTGCAAAGTATCACCATGACTCACCCTGTCACCAATTTTTTGGCGATTCACAACCCCATTTTGCCACAATATCCATCAATATCCCTCAACAAGAATCAAATTTCACGACATTTCACCCATATCTTTGGCCATTTTTTTGGTGGCAAAAATGGGGACCTCATGGCCGGGACCTCATGGCGGACCTCAGGTCCCGAGTGGTGCCGCGAGCAGGGCGTGGAGCTGATCTTCGGACGTGCCACGAAGATCGATCGAAGTGGCAAGGTGGTTGAGGTGGACTGCAACGGCCAGGCCGTGGGCGCGGTGGATTTTTGAGGATTTTTTGGGTCGCAAATTCTACCCTCTGGTAAACTAACATAGCTATGGAAAATCACAATTTTTAATGGGAAAATCCACTATAAATGGCAATTTTCAATAGTTATGTTAATTTACCAGAGGGTAGGGACCAACTGACCACACCCCCGGAATCATGGTGTTTCGGGGAAAAATGATAGGAGATGATAGGAGAATCACCTAAAATGACACAACGTTTCAGGGTCTAACACCGATGGGATCATGAGCAGGATCCAAGCCTCAAAAGACTATGGGATTTGAGATTGTGAACCTTCGAAAATGGTGAAGAGAAGTAGTTTAAGATGGTTTAAGTGTTTAACCCATGGTGATTTCATGGGATGTGGGGATATACTGGCGATATCATGGGGGTACCCTTCGGTACTCAGCTCCATGGCCAGGAATTCCTTCAAATAGATGGAGGTTTTAGTGGAAAAATCGTCAAACTAAGATGGGATGATGGGATGATTGGCTGGTTGATGGCGGGCCTTTTGGATCCTTTTGGTCTGATGACAAGACTTGATGACGGAGGTGATGATGGGTGTCTAAACTAGCAAAATGATGCAACATGGGGGATATAATATGATATAATTTATAATCATATGATATCATATGTAAGTCACCTGTAAGTCATAAAAGATGGTTGGCTGTTGATGGTGAAATGTGATGGATGGGATGATGGTCGGTTCGTGTTTTTTTTTCCCCCCCCGCTTTCGCGGAGATGATTTCCAGGGGTCAGCCATGACTCACCATGAAGCAACCGGGATGTGTACCGAAACCGCCTCAATCATCAGAATTTTACAAAGGGTACCCTCTGGTAAACTAACATAGCTATTGAAAATGGCCATTCAGAGTGGATTTTCCCATTAAAATTGGTGATTTTCCATAGTTATGTAAACATTTACCAGAGGGTAAATCAGCATATCTGAGCAGCGTTCAAAAATACCTTGGACCAATTTATCAGGGAGTGAACCTACGAGATCTCCGTGATTACGGTCAACAGATGGTCGCAAAAGCAATTCTATAGGTGAACCAGTTGATCAAGTGTTTTCGAACACCTCATATGGCTTTAGGATGCTTTAGGTCAAATTCTTTCAGCCCCAATGAAAAAACTTAAATGGTCACTAGTCATTTTGATGAAATCGAACGGGTCCCATTTCTTGGGGCCCATTGATGAAGAACTTAAGTGCTTTTTCGTGTTCCACTGTTGACCCAATTGACATCAATTGACCATATTTGACCATATATTTGCATATATTTTGGATGTCAACTTCAACCCTCCATTTCAGCAATCACTAAAATGGTCATAATTAGTAGGGGTGCTCCCAACGTTTTATAGGTCCATGATGGGCCACGGGGGGGGGGAACTTTATACCCGGGATTACCCGGGATGCTCCTCCAATGGCATGGTCGTTGCATGGTCCTGCCATCAACATCCATCCCTACGTGGCAAAACCATCGCCTTGAGATGATCGAAACATGGGGTATACCTCCCCAGGTTGCCATGAACATGGTTAACTGGTTGGTGTTTTTTCAGAGGGGTAGGTATACCACCAACCAGTTAAGATATTTTTCTGTACTTTGGGAAGTACCCCAGTTTCCGGTACCAAAACCCACCATATTCAGTTGATTAAATTTAGTTAGATCCACGTTTCGGTTGGTAAACAGTCACAGTAAACACAGGTACCAAGCCAAAATCCACCATTCATGGGTTATCACAGTCATTGCTTAATAAATAAGCCAACTATATCCCCGTCCTATCCCTTTCATTGAAATCCCAGGGCATATCTCCCAATAGCATACGATTGGCCATATATCCTATCATATCCCACTATACATCCCACCCTATTCCCATACAACACATCGCATGATATCCCCAACTATGGTTCGCAAAATCTATCCCAGTATTTAGGGGATGATACTGTGGGTTATACATATTTATATAATATATAGTTATATACCATCCCACTGAAATGGTAGATCCTGGTAGGTCCTCGTAGGGTCTAAATTCCCTCCGTTATGTATATATATATACATACATACCCCATTAAGCCCCCATGAATCCCCACCAATATATTGATTACCAGAGGGTAAGTGCTCATCATCCCATTCATCATCATTGATGTAATTATATGAATGTATATGAATGTATATGACTGTACATGGATATGTTGTATATTAATGAAACAAATCATGTGGGATTCACCATCCCCAAGTCATCACCAGTGCCCTGGGGCCGCCCTGGGCGCTGAAGTGCCCTGGGGGCTCAGTCCAAGAGCGTCCAGTACGACGAGCTGGTCATTGCCACCGGTAGCAAGCCATGGCTACCGCCGGTGCCGGGGCTTGGCTTGGAGGCACAGGATGTGGAGGGTTGGCCAACATACGTGAACATTTGTGTAATCTTCTTGATATCATATATATATATATACAATGATATAGATAGATTAGATAGATAGATTAGATAGATAGATAGATAGATAGATAGATAGATTAGATTAGATTAGATTAGATTAGATTAGACTAGACTAGATTAGATTAGATTAGATTAGATAGATAGATAGATAGATAGGTAGGTAGATAGATAGATAGACAGACAGACAGACAGACATATAGACATATATATATATACACACAGATACATATTTATTTATAATGTATGTATGTATGTATGTAATGTAATGTAATGTAATGTAATGTAATGTAATGTAATGTAATGTAATGTATGTATGTATGTAATGTATGTATGTATGTATGTATGTATGTAATGTAATGTAATGTAATGTAATGTAGTGTAATGTAATGTAATGTAATGTAATGTAATGTAGTGCAATGTGATGGTAATGGTAATGGTAATGGTAGTGGTAATGGTAATGGTAATGATAATGGTAGTGGTAGTGGTAATGGTAATGGTAATGGTAGTGGTAGTGGTAGTGGTAATGGTAATGGTAATGGTAGTGGTAATGGTAATGGAAATGGTAATGGTAATGGTAGTGGTAGTGGTAGTGGTAATGGTAATGGAAATGGTAGTGGTAAGGGTAATGGTAAAGGTAATGGTAGTGGTAATGGTAATGGTAGTGGTAATGGTAGTGGTAATGGTATATAATGGTAATGGTACTGGTAGTGGTAATGTATGGTATGGTATGTATGTATATATATATATCATGGCTGTAGAAAATCTGGGTACTCCACACGTTCTGATTCTTTTTTGTTCGAAATGAGAGGAGCAGGTTATGTACGTAGAATGTTTATGTATTTACTCGAAAATCTGGGGATATCAGATGAGAACCAATGTATAGTGACGATGATCATGAATTATCAAGGGCATATTACCAGTGAACGAACACGGACGTGAATATGGGATGCTACCATTTGCCAACATTTAGAAGGGGTCTAGAACTTGTGTCAGCAAAATCGGGTGAGATTGTGGTTTTGCCGTCCCATCGGACCGGTAGGGAAATCAGCTTTGAGACTATGAAGTGCGCAGTTTGCGAGCTGTTTCATGAAAAGGATCAGTGATAATGATAGTAATATGGTAATCATCATGAACATAAGCCGGATAATGGAACCAAAAGGAGCCATAAATCATGTGGGTTTGTTTGATTATCTTGCCTGTCATATCCACATTATATCTCCCTTATATCCCCATGACAAATGCCATGAAATATACCATTTCATTTCCAATAGGATTTTCATGGGATGTACAGTAATTTCCCCATTTTCTGATTATCCACTGTATTACCCAAATATATTTTACGAAAAACCTATTCACATCCTCGAATATTGTCGATGGACTTATCACCCACTATGTATATATATATAGTTATACCATATTAGTGGGTGGAACACCATTTATATACTCATATGATCCCAATTTTTACCAAATTATCCCACGAATTTTGCACACAGCGATGGAACACCATCCAGGGGCCATGAATTCCATTGCGTTTTCGCCAGGTGGAGGGTGTCTTCGTGTATCGAAGCATCTCCGACATCTTCAAGGCGCAGTGAAGTCGATGGGAATTCTGCGTAAGTTTCATGGCGTTGATGGAAAAACACAGGAAAACATGGGAATCTCATGGATTCTAATGGGACATACCATATGAATTCCATATGACAAATGGAAAGTCCTAAAGTTTCTAAAGTGGTCAATGACGAAAAGTCAAGCCATTTTTTTTAAATTATCCTTCGGCCCTTCTGACTACTGTGTCAACTCCAGGATGGGTCCACATCGGAATGGGTCAAAACCAATATGTTTTTGAACGGTGAGATGAACATCTTCATGTGAGTACAGTGCACCGGTTCATTTCGATGTTAACCAAATGAATCAACCACAAACCACAAACTGCCAGTTTAATTTTATAGTCTATTTGTAGTTGTCGTATGGACATCCTGTATTCAGCAATTCAGCAATTTTCTTCAGCCATATCAGTTTCACAGTTAGTCTGAGTATGTTCTATTTTGATATTCCTATGGTTAATCATCAATGACTAAACATACCATTTTACTGGAAATCCAGGGCACATATTTGGTCCCTTCAACTATTTTAGTGGGTGTTTTGGGGCTGTGTTTTCGGGCCCTACTTGAAACCATGTTGATGTTTGTCCATTTTCCATAGCTGTAGCATGCCTTTCGCTAGAGTTGGTGGCTTCGCAGATTTTTATTTTCACCCCGAGCAATGGGATGATGATCCTTGTCGGCTTTTTCTCTTTTTCAGATGGGTGGCTCAACCACCAACCAGTTGTGATCTATTTCCCCCTTTTTTGTTCCTATTCGAGGCCCATTTCACTTTGTAAAAAGACATGGGCACCGCTTTTTCACATGTTTCTCACAGATATATTTCCAATAGTTTTCCCCTTATGAATGGCCATTTTCATCCATTTTCCCGATATTTCCCTTATATTTCCCTTATATTTCCCCTATATTTCCCCTTGAAAACATGGTCCTTTCAGCCCCGCTTAACCGGGTCCTTTCTTTAACGCCCGGCAGATCACGGAGCGCGCGAAGTTCTCCACGAAGGCAGTGGTCATCGGCGGAGGTCTGCTGGGCCTCGAAGCTGCCAAGGTGGGAAACACCATGAAACATGCTGTGTTTTAATGGTGATAACTAATGGTGATAATGGTTATGGTGATTTAATGGTGACTTATCAACATTAGTAATCATTATCACCATTTAATGCTGTGTTTTAATGGTGATAACTAATGGTGATGATGGTTATGGTGATTTAATGGTGACTTATCAACATTAATAATGATTATCACCATTTAATGGTGTGTTTTGATGGTGTCTTAATGGTGATACCCTCTGGTAAACTAACATAACTATGTAAAATCACCATTTTTTATGGGAAAACTCACTATAAATGGCCATTTTCAATAGCTATGTTAAATTACCAGAGGGTAACTAATGGTGATAACTAATGGTGATAATGGTTATGGTGAAAATGGTTATGGTGATTAATGGTGATAGCTGGGAATTTCATCACCCCAACTGACGAAAATATTTTTCAGAGGGGTTGAAACCACCAATTCGTATCTTAATGGTGATAATGGTTATGGTGATAATGGTTGTGGTGTGTCTAATGGTGATTTAATGTTTAATGATGAACTGGTGTGTTTTAATGGTGTGATTTAATGGTGATAGCTAGCTGGGTTTGATTATAATCCATGTTTTTTTGGTGAAAAAAACATGATGGTTGAATAATATAATGATCCCCACAAGGTGGTGCCCCATAGTTAGCTAAGTTGGTTTATAACTCCCATAACTATGGTTTATGGCAGATATAACTATAGTTAATGGGGTTTATAAACCAACTTATAACTGCGGGGCACCATCCTGCATGATCATGGGGATATGATGGTTTCATAGCTCACCAACTATGATCAACCCCCGGATTTAATGGTGATAACTAATGGTGATTTTTTTCATATGAAAACCCAGCAACTAGGGATATAGGCAAACATCATATCATATGAATGGGGATGATAATCAAATCACATCATAGCAATTTTTGACGGGATGATCATCGGGATATGGGCCATGGTCGGCCATCTCTTGGGATATGGGAAATGGGGATACGATGGCTTAAAAACTCACCAACTATGATTAACCCCGGGATATGATAATGGGATAGGAGAATGGGTATCCAGTGATTCAGTGATTCATCATGGGGAATCTATGGGAATTCAGCAGGAATTGACAAAAAAAAAAAATGGATGGGCTTGGGATGGGCTTAAATTCCTGGTTGTGATGACCTTGAAGTCAAGCATTCGGCAAGAATGGCGTTCAGGGGGGTTCCCACTGAATTTTTGTGGCTGTGATCTGCAATTGATGACATTCTTCCAAAGTTCTGTCCCCACTCTTTGACACTCATCCCAGTGAGGAAAACGGACGGGTCCCGTTCCCATAGAGTTCTATCTTTTTTGAAGGTGTCTTCACAATCCCATCACATTTTTGTTTTGGTTGAAAAAACATGTCATCCTGAAATCAGGCACACCAGCAGTCAGGACCAGGGTTCTGACAGTAGGGTATCCCAGAATCTCATGGTTTCCAATTTTGGAATACCAGAATCATCCAGAATCATTCGAAACCATGGGAATCATGGTGGAATCATGGTGAAAACCCCTTATATAGCTGGTTGGTGGTTTGGAAATGTTTGGAACATTTTTTATTTTTCCATATATTGGGAATTTCATCATCCCAACTGACTCCATCATTTTTCAGAGGGATGGCTCAACCACCAAGCAGTTGGCCATTTTCACCACGTGAAGATCTCGTTGATCGCCAGGCGGCCTACGATCTGGGCCTGGAGACGACCATCTTGGAGGTGGCTCCGCATTTGATGCCGGTGCAGCTGGACCTGGAAGCTGGGAAGTGCCATGGCATGGAAAATGATGGACATTTTTGGAAGAATCTGGCTAATAAAATATAACATGTCGTGTAAATCTGGCTGAAAAAGGTGGAATCACTGACGACTCAAGATTGTTGGAGAAAAATTGGTGGTGTCGACATGGAACTGGTTGAACCAGTGATGGTGTCCTGAGGATTCTGCAAAGCAAGATTGAGGCCTTGCTGGGTGGGAGGAGAACTCAGAGAACTCATGTCCCAGGTCTGGTGGTCAAGACCTCCAAAAGGATGCCGATGGGTGTTTCAAAAACAAGGGGATTTTCTGAGCCCTCCTTTCGAACTTGGTTTGTTTGGAAAAGAACTTGGAGTCACAGCAAATTGAATGCTGGGTGCTTGTGGGACGCTGATTCCTCGGAGTTGCGGAGGCGTTGGGGCTCAAAGTTAAGACCGGCGTCAAAGTCTTGGAGATCCAAACTGGTGATGGAGGCTTGCAGGGCGTGAAGATTGAGCAGGAGGGGGCAGAGGACCGGGCAAGGGCAGGGATATGCTATGGCAAAGAAGCATTGCAATGGAAGACCTTCAAGAAACTTAAAAGACGAATGTCATCTACTCAAAACGGATGTTTTTCCAGTTCCGGCTGAAGTTGCTCCCAAACTTATGGAGAGCAACACAAGGGACAGCCACGTCGATGATTGTCCCACTTATGGCAAGCAGATTGAAGCTATGCTTCAGGAAACTATGCTATGCCATTCAAGAGCGTGGTACCACGATAATTCCCAGTGACTTGTGATTGTAGCAGACCTTGATTTCATGACCTTGGGTTTTTGATTTGGAATTATCAAGGCATGTCATGCGCATAGTGAAAACCATTCCTGTTTTGCCGAAACCAATCTATAATCTATAACAAGAGATGTGTCCCAAATACCAATTTGTAGATTATCATAGGAGCTTTACTACCTACTTTATGGGAATCATTGCAATCCTCTATCGGAACTGCTAAAAGCCAGACAGTATTTCATGGGATAATTATACCAATAGAAAGGCGAGTTTCTAGCTTCACCAACCAATTGTCATCATTTGTTTCATACATGAATTGCCATAAACACTTAAGCCAATGTGGCCATCGGTCAAAACCTTAACGCGCTGGTTTTCAAAGCAAAATGGCTGAGATTTCTGGATGTTCATCCCCTCAAATTACAGGTTCTAAGCCATACCCAACTTCTTTTGTCCTCATAAATACCATCTTATAGATTAACTATATCTATATAATTAAACCAGAAACAAGTACTTACCCCATTCAAGTCTAACTTCGTTTTCCCTTATCCTCATGATATCCTCAGTATATCCCCACAAAAAGGTTAGTGGTTGTCCCCATATCCCCAATTGAAATCCCAAATTTCATTTCTGAACTTCTGGTTTTCTCCAATTTTTCCTCCTTTTTTTTTTTTACTTCGCTTCCGCGGCAGGAGGTGTTAGCCACCACGCTTTTGATCGTGGGCGCAGGCGTGCGGCCGAGGCAAGAGCTTGCTGAGTCCTGTGGTCTGGAGCTGGGTGGTCGCGGGGGCATCAAGGTGCGGATGGGGCACCAAGGGGGTTGGGCCAGGGGAGGCGCAGGTTTCGGGGCGTTGTTGATGTTTTATGTTGTTGTTTTTCCCCGTTCAATCCACTTTTTTTTTGGGAAGCTTGTTGTGTTTTAATGCTTGAAATTTTCGGAACACTGGGGGAAATTGAATGAGTTACTGTAACATGAGTTCACCAAGGTTTTTTGGGAAGTTGTTGGGTGATTGAAGCGACAGACATGGGGATACTTCGATGATTTTTATTGCAGCATGCTTGGAATGGATATAGCCATTATAGAAGTGGTTTACAAACAACAAGTCATGGCTATAGCTCTTTGGTAACTATAGCTAGAATGTCGTTGTTTCAATGTTGTGAATGGGTGAAACTCAGATGATTTCATCCACCGTAAGTTGGGGGGCTTAGTGAATTCAGCAGTTCACATCGTGACTGGTTGGTAGTTTTATCATGTTTTCTCATCCTTTCTGGTTGGATCCCAATTCATTGAAGTGATAAGTGTGGGTCGAAACCACCAAGTAGACCAACGAATCGTGGCGAAAAAAACTTGCAGTGGGTTCCAGGAACACGACTTGCAGAAGATCCATGGATCTGATTTCAAAGGGGATGCCCAATGAAAGCCGACCCTGGAAACTGGGGTCCTTGAAGGCTCTCTGTTTTTTTTTTGGCAGTGTTGGTGGACTTCACAACTCCTGTATACTGTATACTATACTCCACCTTCAAAACGGCTGACAGGTATGTCATTATCTATGGCAATCCCCAAACATATTGTATATAATATTATATTATATATTATTATATGTATAATAGATAGATTTAATATATAATATATAGATTGTATATATATATACACATAAATATATAGATAGACAGATTGGAGACCGGGAATCTCAGCAGTTGCAGTCACCCAGTGACACTTAAAAAATGGATTTTCCCAGGTGGACCAGCGGATGAAGACGGCCGATGAACACATTTGGGCCGTGGGGGAAATCGCCTCCTACAACGGTGGCATGTGTTATCAGCTCTCAGCCCCAGGAAAATCATGGGATGGGGGGTGTTTTACTGTCATGGTTGGTCACCTCTTAGAGTTGGCGCTTTGGTTTCTGTTGAACTTCCCAAGAGGATGCATACTTTTGGTTAACGATCTTTAGCCTCGAAGGCAACAATCCCAAGAGATCAGCGGATGTGATACTTTCACACTCCATTCCGAGCAGCTTTGCTCCGGCCGGACAGATGTCGTAGCTGTCGCTCCCTGGAGGATATACCCAAGCAGAGATCTTGTCCGATCACATGACCAACCCCAAGGCCTTCAGGGCCTGAAGAGGGTCTTCAGGGCGGTGCCGGCGCCTGATCGAACCGTGGAAACTCCCAAATATCTGTAGGATGATGTAGGATGGGTTGCTCAAACCATCCAGACTTGTTCCCAGTTTGTTTTGAGAATGTGGCTGGAGATGGCTGGAGTTAGATTTGTCAAAAGTAATGCTTCAGGAGAGAATTTCAGAATGTGTTGTCTGTTGGCAAACTGTTTTAGGGTCTCAGAATTGAGAGGTAGGCGGTAGGAGGAGCTGTGCTTGGCAACTTTGATGACTTTAGAAGGTCTGCCAGCCTGGAAAACGCTCAAACTCGTGCAGTTTCCCCGTCCATCAACTGCATCAAATTCAACAAGATTTGTTGATGACCTCAATCATCTCTGCATTCTTCTTGGTGACCATTCCTGAAATCGGCCCAGGCGGACGCCAAGTTTGCCGACGCCGACCTGTCGACCAAGCTGAAGCTCTTGGGGGTGGACGTGGCGTCCTTTGGTGGCAGCTCTGACTTCTGGTTCAAGCGGCAGTACAGCTCGTCAGGACCACGATCTCTGGGGGCAACTTGCTATGGGGTAGTGAACTATCGAAAGGTGAAGCCTTCAAGGCCCAAAATTCGTAGATTGTTATATAGCTGTGATGTAAAATGTTCATCCAGAATACGTCACGGAATTGAACAGGTGGCAGAGGTCATTCCCCTTGAGGGGACCTGGAATGGGCTTAGCCCGTTGAGGACCAGTTGCCGCTTCCGAGAAATATTCTGGAAGGGAGTTTTTTTGACCATGTGTTCGGCCCCAAGAAAGGGATGTCATCAGATTATACAATATTACACAACATAATTCCGATGAATTTCTCGGGCCAAAATGTCACGCCTAGTTTTTTTTTGAGGGTGGAGTGGTGAAAAGAAGGTGTGCCTCACAGCACATTCTCATCCTCAGGGTGAAGCCAGCACCTAATTGTCCAGGAGAAGAAGTCATGTCCAAGGTCAGTAAGGTGTCGGGGGGGCTACCGGAGCTGATGCCTCACACGGCAGGGGCCAACATTGCCACCATCATTTTGAGGATCTGAAACCACCAAATTTCCTGGGCAGAATCATTTGACATCGATCCCACCTGAGAAAAGTAGGATCCTACCAAACTAGTTGCGCGTTACTTTTTCTGCCTCTTTTTTGGGCGTTGCTGTATTATGTTATAGTATATTATAGTATATATATATGCCTTTTAGATATATATATATAATATATATATATATATTATATTTATATGTGTACATTTGTAAATATTTATATGTGTACATCTGTCTATATATATATATTATAAATGATTCTATGTATCATATATATATAGGTGTTATATATGTATGTATTATATATATATGTGTGTGTTATATATATATATGTGTTATATATATATGTGTTATATATATATATGTGTTATATATATATGTATATATGTATATATATATATGTATATATATGTATATATATATATATGTATATATATATGTATATATATATGTATATATCTATATATATATATATATATGTATATATGTATATATATATGTATTAACTATATATATATATATGGAGCGTTATTGACTGTAATTCATCACAATTGGGAACAGCCCTTTTTCAACAGTCTAAATCATGGCCGTGATACTTCAAGGCCATGGCATGTCAGGACGAGGCGGCTGGAGTCTACAAGAAGTTGGTCTTCACCCCCGACGGCACCAAACTTTTGGGCGGAATCTTGGTGGGAGCACCTCGGCAACGACTGCAGGATGGTGGTTGGGGGTGTGTCTGAAAATAGTGTACCCCTAAACCCAATGGTTAATGATCATTATCCCTATTAAATGGCTATAATTGGGAATATAATTACCCTATTTTCAGACAAACCCATTTGTCCATATTCCCTATTGAAAAAAATGCTTCGGAGCTCGTTTGCCAACATTTACCAACCACGTGGGATGGTGAAATCCCAATGGCTGACGGGAGAACCAGTCAACCATTCTGATGTAAATTCCCCATTTTTTGTGGGTGAAGAGTGAAGTCCCATTTTTTTCTTGGCCACTTGAGTGTCCCCAAAAAACGTGAGAATCCCCTCATCTTCTGGTTTCCATCTCCATTTCAAAATTTCTTCATAGTCAAATGCCACTTTTTGGTATGTTTCACTCCCACTATATGCATCAATCATCATCCGTCCACTTCTTTCAAACTGGTGTACAAGCCCTAGTTCGTTCGCGAAGCTGTTTATAACATTCTATAACTCCAACCACTATTGTGTTCTATAGGTGATCATTTTAGATAATCTACCCTCTGGTTATTTAACATAGCCATGGTATAGATGGCCCATTTATAGATGGTTTACCTATTAAAAATGGGTGGATCTTTCCATGGCGAACTGTTAGTCATAACCAGATGGTATACTTCATGGGGCTTAGCAACCACCAAGAACCACGGTTACGGCAGCAGGGCGGCCTTTTGTGGCCAAGGACATCTCTGCCTTTGCGCCGCTGACGGCGGTGTCCAAGCGCCCGGACATCGGGGGTCTGTCGCCTGATGAGCTGATGGCAGGGCAGATGCCCAAGGTGGACGATGGCGGCGATGGCACGAATTTGGGAGATGATGACCATGTGCCCTGGAGAATGATGGGACCTGGGATAGCCTGGGATAGCCTGGGATAGCCTGGGATAGATGAGGATGGTTACCCTCTGGTAATTTAACATAGCTATTGAAAATTACCATTTATAGTGGATTTTCCCATAAAAAATGGTGATTTTCCATAGCTATGTTAGTTTACCAGAGGGTAGCTGGATAGATGAGGATGGTTAGGGGGGAAATGCCCTGGAGAAGGAGATAGATGGGGAGATGTGAGGAGATAGATTGATAGATGGGGGTGGAGACAAAACGAGACTTCGGGATGGATCTCCTAGAGATTTACGGAGATGAAGATGGTTAGGGGGACATGCCCCGAAGCCGGCTGGATCTATTTGAGGGGATGGGAGTGTTGTGTTGTTTACATGATTCAAATGATGGAGGTGTCCGAAAATGGGGGCACATCCATATACAGTAATGGGTTTTTACATCATAAACCATGCACATATATGGTACCTCCATAGATGTTTTTTTTCTCCAAAAAACAAGCCATGTGCCTTGAGGGTCCTATGGTGCCGGAATGGTGGAGATGATGGGAGGGGAGGCGGGTTTGGATTAGGATGATAGGATGGCTATGAATTTCCAAAGGGAATGCCATATGGGGATGTTCAAGAATCGCGTGAATTGGATCCATCAAATCCTGAAAATATGTTTCTTTTCTTCAAAACCACAGGTTTTTGTATCCCTGGTTCTTAGGACACGCAAAAACACAGCAAGTGGTTGGTTGCCCCAATGATCCCAGTGACAAGCTTCGAGCTTCAGGTCTGCAACTGCCACTCAGTGCCTAAGAAGGTGATTCGTGAGGCAATCATGAAGGGCGCACACACCTTCGAGGCTGTTGGGGTGGTAGTTATCCCGGTATCCCCAAGAAAATCTTGGCAAAACCATGGGGATGGTATCCCCAGTTATTAACGTGACGGATAATTTTTTTAATGGACTTTTTTGGATTCGTGAGTTAAGAAAGACAGTTGCGTTGCCGATTCATTTCTGAAGATGGAGTCCCAAAAGAGATTATTTGGCGTATGTTTGGGTTACAGTTGTTTATCTAATCCTTCAAACATCTTTGGAGATCAATGTGAAGTCCACCCCCGAAAAAGCAACGCGGAAGCCTTCAAACATCTTCAAACACCGCTTTGAACGGTGAATCATTCTAACACAATAAAAAGGGTGGCATCATGCAATTCCTGAGGCGCAACTCCTTTCACATATTGAACACCCAGAACTGGTGGAATTGGATCATGGGTCGCCAGCTCATCAGGAGATCAAGAAGTGCACAAAGGCAGGAACTGGTTGCGGTACCTGCAACTGGGCGGAACAAAACCTTGGTGAAATCAGGGATCTGACTGGCTTGGGACCTGGCTATAGCTCTTTGGGGATCATTGCACCATTTGATCCTTTTCAACTTGGATGAACATTGATAAACCATCCATTTTCACTGTGGGGCATTGATATGGGTTGATATGGCTTGATTTTGACGACAATTTTGGGATCACAGTCTTTCGCAGAGACCTTCGCCAGTGAACTGTAGGCCATCCAAGACTAGCCACGGGCTCTAACGAGTATCAACTTGGATGTGGCTTGTGTTTTCTAAAGTCACTTAAAAGTTTCAAAGGTCTCAAAATCACAAGGTCTCAACCAATCCATCGCAACTCCCCAAGGTATCCGAACGGGTCCTCAACCGAAGTTGCTTGCCCATACCTTGAACCAGAAAGGTGCGCCCGAAAACTGGCCCTCCGATGTTGACTGACGTGGCGGGATGGGAAATGCACGAACTAAATGGAGGTGTGAATGGGAAAATCATCTATAAATAGGCAATTCTACTTTTGGGGGATGCGTCAAGTGTGGGACTTGAAAAAAAAATAAAATGGGAGAAAAATAAGCCAACCTCACCTTGTTGAGAGTTGGTGTTCAGAATGTCAATTCCTGGATCACTTATTACACCCTCCAGTAAACTATGAAAATCCATGGTTCTTTCCCGTTCCGGAAATGATCTACTTTGATCTACTTTGATTTTCATGGATTTTCCATAGCTTTTTCTGTGGAGGGTATCCAACCATATCCAACCCTTCAAATCTGTAGTATTCTGGAGTCATAGTGTATATAGATGTCATAGGTGCTTGAGTCCTCCATTCAAAAACCCTCCAATACAGAATACTAGTATCCCATTTTTGGAATCCTCCATTTTCTGGAGAAAAATCCTCCATGTTTCAAAAATCTTGCAGTACTCTCTGGTAAACTAACATAACTATGGAAAATCACCATTTTTCATGGGAAAATCCACTATAAATGGCCATTTTCAATAGCTATTTTGACATAACCAGAGGGTATCTCCCACACTTCCGCCGTCTCCACATCGCTCCAGGTGTCGAGGCGGGCGCCTGTAAGGCGCTACCCTTCGCGCACGACGACATCGAGGACTTGGCCAAAGCGCGTCAGCTGAAGAGCTACGAGGAGCTGGTGACGCATGCGCCTGGGCGTAGCGCTATGCCGCGATAGCATGGATGATAGCATGGGGGATAGCATGGATGAACTCGTAGATGTAAAATAAAACTGGATAAATATGGTAAGATCAAAAGGATATTGATAGAATTACTGATAGATACTGATTGAATATATGTCGTTTTCTTTTTTGAACAAAACGATGATTTTTGGGGTTCGTCTGACAGTTTAGGGGGTTAAATATCAATTTTGAGGGGTAGTTACTTTATTTTCACAGAGCCTGTCAGTTGATGGACCAGGAAAAATATGAGAAGCTGGATTTCTGGGCAAAAAAAGCCATCAATGGGGATATATATATATATATAAAGAATATAGAATATCAATATATATATATAATTATATATATAATATAATAGAACAATATATATATATATATAATGGTGATGTGATGGTGACATACAACCATGACATCGGGATGGGTCCAAGGCTATACTAAAAATCCATGGTGTTCACAACAGCAACAACAGCCTATAACCATTGAGAAGGGCCTTGTTGATTTGTAGCAACAACAAGGCCTTAAGGCCATAGATTTGTAGCAACAACCATTGATTTGTTGTTTCTTCTTTTTCCTAGAAGGCTAGCTAATGTTGTTTGATGATTACTTTTTTGGGGACATTCTGAGGAGGTTTAGCCGACAGAGACTTGGATTTCCAACGAAACATGTTGATTTTTTGACATTTTTTTTTTGCTGTCACGCACAAAACAGGAGATGCTCACGGAAAAATAGGAGATGTTTGACCAATTTAACATCTAGGGATTGTTGCGCCGACACCTGTGGGATATTTGACCATGAATGGGCAAATGGCAGATGGGAACCAGGTGTGTTGGTGAGTTGAAGCCAGAAACAATGTGGGTATATAACAAGATTGGTCAGTGGCCTCGAATATCACCCATCTTCACCCATCAAGATTGAACTCACTTGGTAGTTTCGATTTGGAAAGCCATGGTGACCCAAAAGAGGGAAGGCTACTTGCAGGGGGAATTGATGTCCTAAGTGAGCCTATGTACAACAAGTCAGGTGTGGTATTTGACCAAACATCTCCACTGGCCACCACGGCTCACCACTCTTCTCCATTGTTTCCGAGTTGGGTTATCCTGCTGCAGCTGCGGACGGCGACAAGACAGCGCTGGGCAGTGTGTTGGATCGGCGCCTTGTCGCTGCCAAAAAGTCTGGATCCATGGAAATTTGACCGGGATACGACTGGAAATGTGATGTGGCTTTGTCGATAAACATGGGGAAGCCCTGGTGAAAATGAGGCTTTAAACCTCCTGAGATATCTTGGGGTATTCCCAATTTTCGGAGACCAAAAAAAAGGTCCTCAAGCAGACAGGCGAGCTAGCACAGTTGGTCGTAGGGAGGCTGTTTGGGGCCTGGGGGTGCGCAATATTTTTCATAAGCACCCAGCATCAATGAGGCCGTCATCGCTTGTTGTTCCTTGTTTTTACCCACAAGTTTTCCATCTTGAATTTATGTTTTCCCTCTTGTTTCCTCCATCATGTACACAAGCTTTGGTGCTGTTTTCTTCCCTAACACTGAAATTTATGTTGAATTGATGAGTTCATGAGTAAAAACAGAGTTGGTACACCAGCATTTTCATCCAAATTTTCCCTATCTATTAAACATTGCAATTGTCTTTTCCCCCCCGGCCCTATGTTTGGACCGTTTGGACATGTTTGATCCCTTGGTGTTTCCCAAGGATCGGTGGAAAGCCCAAGGGAGAGGGCTTGGACCATGTGGCGCAATTGAAGGCTTTCCGCCATGGAAATGGGCCGATTTGCTATGGAAAACCGCCATGGTAAACCGAATAGCTATGAGAAATAGCATGACATAACTCATGAAATAACTCATAAAAATAGATGATTTATGGATGATTGACCTGTAAACTAACTGTTTGCTATGGAAAATAGATGAACATAGCCCATTTCGTCCAAAAAATCATCATTCAAAAGGTGCTCGTCTGGTGGTCAGGCGCTCAAGGATGACTTGTGGAAGTAGCTTCGGCCGAGGATCAGTGTGGAAGATGGGGAAGGATGGGGATAAACATCCAGCATGTTTTCTTGTTGGTGTTTTGTTCCCCAAGATGGGGATTTAATCCAACTTACCGTAGTTCGTCATGATTTCTTCAAGGGGATTTGACTAGTAAAAACCATGAGGATTGTGGGTCTCTAGTTCCTTCAGGGGATTAGTACATGTCCCATGAAATGGGCATTTTCACAGATTTTAACCATCAGTGAAAAAGAGGACTGTTGGTAGTGGTGATTCTTTTATTTATTTTTTTAAAAACATATTGGCCAAAGGTGATGTTCAAACTGGACATTATTTGCAACAACCTATACCATCTGGTTGTTTAACATAGCCATGGAAAATGGCCCATTTATAGTGGATTTTCCCATGAAAAATGGTGATTTTCCATAGTTATGTTAGTTTACCAGAGGGTAACAGTGAAGTCCTCGGTCGAGTTGTTCGTATAAATTCCATACCTCCTTGGTCATTTTGCTTTGAACATGTAGGGTACCTCTATATAAAACCACCGGTGAATCATCGCTTTCCTTTTAAAGGCCGAGCGTTTTTGGAGGGCCCAAGCCATTTTCAAACATCACAAAGTTATTCCAAGTTCATGGTTTTCATTGCTTGAAGCCTATTATCCACGTAAATTGGCCGGTGAACATCCCCGTTCTTGATTTCTTGATGGCTAAACCACTAACCAATATTTAAGTATTCCCCTTTCTGGCCAGCATTTTGGGGAAGACACCCATCATTTTCAGACCATGTTCTTGTCATTTTGCTCCGGTTCCACCCTTTTCTCTGAAATCAACAGATTGGTTCAAAGGAAAATCTAGAGGACCCCCATATCTGTGGTAAAAAAATAAAACTTTGGCTTCCTGTAGATTTCCCCCATGGGTCCCATGGGTCCAGGTTCGTTGACAAGATGAACTGCAATCCCATCCTGGTCCGACTCGCCTGGCACGATGCGGGCACCTACGACAAGTCCAAGACAGCCTTCGGTGACTGGGATGTTTCCGCCTAAAAGGTGACCGATGGATGAAGAGCTTACGAAACATCTGGCTATGAGTCAAAACATCTGGGTAAATTTCATCACGACCTCATTGCGACCGAAGCCTGATTTCATGGTTAATAAGGGAAATCATCCCAAATGGCCTTAATTCAGGTTATTCAGGTTAGTGAAATATTATAATTTACCCAGAAACATGTCAAAACCCTGGCACCCTGGATGGTACCCTAAAATAGATGGTTTAGATGGTTTATAGATGTTTATTCCCCCGAAAAAAAGGCAATGTTTAACGGGTTTTGACCCATCCCCATCTATGAAAAGGGGGCGGGGCGGATTTGGTTGAATCTCCATGACAGGAAGTAAGTGTCACATGGGGGTAATTTGGGTGTGACAATTTTGAAGGGGACCGCAGATTGACTTGTCATTGTAGTAGTCAACTTTGGGGTACCCTATTTTTCACCTAAATTCGAAGAATCCCATACACTACCGCCTTAACTTATAATTAGCACCCTCTATATTAAATCGGATCCCGAAGATGAATAGATTGAATAGATCCACTAGCACATTGGTACCAGCGCAAACCTGAGCAAGGCGCAGTGGGGGATACCTTCAAATAGCCATGCTGGAATTATGAAACCCTTAGAGGAAATCCCTACATCTGAGGGTGTCCTGTAGATTTTCCCTTAAACATCCTTAAACCAATCCATGGATTCCATTCATTTACAAGAGATTGACATATTTTGCCTGTAGAGGTTTCCTAAGTCATGGGGAGGGTACCCAGTTCTCATCCAAATTTTCATAGGATTTCCATGGTAAACCATCCAGCTATTGGGGTACCCTGCAGGAACCCCCCATATATTGAGCTCATCCCAGTGTGGCTTCCCACACTGTGATAGGTGAACGGGGCGGTGCCAATGGCTCCATACGCTTCAGCCCTGAGATTAGCATGGGAGCCAACAACGGTCTCTTGGTGGTTGATGTTCCTTGATGTGGCAGTGTGTCAAAACCTTGTACCCCTGGTGAACATCAAAATAGCTGGTAAATGGATGTTCATCCCCCTAAAAATGGTATTAATAGGTATTGATCCATACTCATGTTTGGAAAGTGGTGCTTCTTACCAGAGTTGCATTTCTTGTAGGCAAGAGTGTTCTTCTTCATCCGAATCCAGAGTTGTACCTTCGCCGTTCCAGGATAAGTAGAAACTGGTGTCCGCATCAATCTTCGAATCTTGCTGACCACATGCAGAAACAATTCGATGCACAAGTAAGAGTTCATTTCCGAATCCCGGAGTTTGAACGATTTCATGAATGCCTCATATGATTAATAATGGTCAACAATGATTACCCTCTGGTAATTTAACATAACTATGAAAAATCACAATTTTTCATGGGAAAATCCACTATTTCAATGGCCATTTTCAATAGCTATTTTGACATAACCAGAGGGTAATAAAATCATGTTCTTCATGGCTTTTTTTCACGTTTTTTTCATGGAAACATCCCATGGCGTCCCATGACATCCAGGTCTGGACAAGGCGGTGAAGTATATGGAGCCCTTCAAGGCGGCCAGGGGCCCATGGCTGCCATGGCTCGCTGTCCGGCTTGGACTGAACATGTTCAAAGATAATAATAGTGCTTATAGAGGTATAGTAATAGTTAGCCCTTATTAATGATTATTATGATTATAGCGGTTATAACAGTGATGACTGTGATTAAACATTAAATAGCCTATATAATGTTTCTTCTTTATAGCGATTGGAACATGTTCACTTATCAAATTAGTTTGAACCCAACATGAACAAAGGACATGAGACACCATTGTTGCGGGCGCTTTCAACAGGTTGTAAGGTGCTACCCTCTGGTATATCGAACTAACGTGAAAAGTCATGCTCCTTTGAAAACGGTAGGGGTTCGGGAATGCAATTATCACATATATAATGCTATCCCCCTGCAATCCAAAGCTTCTAATTTTCAACGCTGGGGTGATGATCCCAATTGACCCCTATCTAGCCACGTTTGATGACACTGGAGGAGTGTTGAAGCTGGCAACCGTTCCAACCGTTCCAACCGTTCCAGGCGGACTATCCTTTGGTCTCCTATGCTGACCTCTATCAGATGGCTGCTGCTGTATCCATTGAGCACGCGGGCGGCCCTAAGATTGACATGAAATACGGCCGCAAGGCACTGGTCGCTGGAGTGTGGTAGCTGCTGTTTGGTTTTTTACGTTTTTTTTTGTGGCTTTGAATATGCTGCTAGCTTTTTTGGAGAATGATGTGGGGAAGTCTAACCCTCAACCATCCCATGAACGGCTTAAAATACCTCCCAGTCATACAGGTATACGGTATACCCAATTTCATAAACCCCCAATTGGCGTTGGTTTGGGGCATTGGCTTTACCATGCTTTACCACATTATCCCAACTGCCCGATATGACTAGGATGTTTGGTCGGCGACCCATGTTGGCCCAACAGATGTGTTGAGAAACACTGATACCCTCCGGTGTCATCAAAGATGGCTAAAGGGGAAATCTATTGCTTCTAAACCATAAAATGCAGTCTTGAATGGGAAGATCAACTATTACAAATGTGAAAAACTCGGGAACTTTCCATTGCCATGTTTGATTACCAAAGGGCATTCGAAAGAGACAAAAAAGGGAGATTGACTGCCCTCACCACTCAAATCTGGGTGTGCTGATGGAAAGATTATTCCAACTTTGAGGCCACTTGAAAAAACAGGCTGGCGGTTGCATATGTCTGACAAGATATGGGTTTTCAATGAATTTCATGTAACTTCCATCTTGAAAAGCTTGACGATGATACGCCAGTTGACCAGTGCATTTGAAGTTTTCAGGCAGTGTTAGCAAGTCCGTTCACAGTTGTGGACATTACCCTCTTGTAAACCAACATAGATGTGCAAAACCCCATATTTCTAGATCATTTTTCAAGGGAAAGCATTGGCTTTACACCAAAAAATCGGTTGGTTTTCCGTCATCGCGCCATCCGCCAGGATGCGACAGGACCGGACCAGTGTCCGGACCCCAAATCTCGAGGCCAGACGCCAGACATAGCCATGGTTAAGCCATGGCCCTAATCGAAATAGATGGTTTATAGATAGTTTACCGAACTTTCCATAGCATGGTGGAGGTTTACCTAGCTATAAAATGGGTGGATCTTTCCATGGCGAACTGTGAATGTCATAACCAGATGGTATCATTTAAATATCGGCCAAGCTCATCCATTGAAAAACCATAGTGGGTTGACCTCCAAATGATCGCCTCGAAATCGCTGGATGCCATTGGTTGGTTGGGTTGATCCATGTTGATCCAGCGGGTATCCAGCGGGATTTTTTTGGATTTGAATTGACAACATCAAGGCATAAAGCGCTTGGGATCAGACTGGATATGTCTGAGTGGTTTGGGTACAGACCCAAAAAAATAAAGCAGAGTTGTTCATGAACTAAATTAGGGGGATTTTCTGCGAATAACAACAGAAAAACAGCTATCCATAACTGTTTGGTGAAGTTTTCATGGCTCAATATGGGTCGCCATAGTGGAATGTGATTGGCTCTAGAACATGGGTATACTTAAGTTACGGAGGTTGATTCCTTACGGGACTCGTCAAGCAGATTTTCACATGATCAATTCTTGTTACCCTCTGGTAAACTAACGTAGCTATGGCAAATCACCATTTTTAATGGGAAAATCCACTATTTCAATGGCCATTTTCAATAGCTATTTTGACATAACCGGAGGGTAGTGAATTTTCAAGGTTTGTAAGCCTTCGTACTCGTTGTTCTTTGTTGATATCCGATATCGCTTGCTGCTGAAAAATCCATTCTTTGTTGGTCAAAATCCTCGTTCTTCTTGGTGAAAAAATCCTTATGGTTGTTGGCCAATATATATATATATACACACATAATTATATATATATACAAGGACATATATATATATATAGCAACCCCGAATAGATAGAAAAACTGGACAACGGAAAATATGAAGTAAATACCCCTAATTCACATTCTGGAAACATTTTTCTATCTTTTCGGGGTTGCAATATAAGTAAATACGACATATGTTCTTGCTTGATATCCCCCATTCTTAAAGCCGCGAACTGTTGCCATATCCAAGATTGTGCTGTACGAGCGTCCCAGAATTAGTTGTGAGTGAAAGTGTGGAGAGCACAGGGGAGAAAAGACCTCTCTATGATGGCGAAAGCCAAGGTCTTCTGCCAGATTTCCACGAAGATTCAATTCAAATTTTCTCAAAATTTTCAAAAATTCCCTTGAATCACTAGTTCAACTGCTATTTCTGTTTTTTTTTTTGGGAGCTAAACTCGTGAAAATTGACGAACCCCCCATGTTGCCACGACGGGATTCACAGGCACCGCTGGCAACGCGGGGCTCCCAGATGCGGAGCCGGGCCCGGAGGGGGCCTTTGGCTGCGGGGCCACGGATGCGGCGACGCATCTGCGAAACATTTTCTACAGGCCCACGAGGATCATTACTGGAATTTATTACCCTCCGGTTATGTCAAAATAGCTATTGAAAATGGCCATTGAAATAGTGGATTTTCCCATTAAAAATGATGATTTTCCACAGCTATGTTAGTTTACCAGAGGGTAACTACTAAAACATACTAAAACTGGTTATTACTTATTGTTGTTATAGTGACTATTAGATCTATTAGTTTTTGTTGTTATGATGGTGTTTTTCTTTATTGTTGTTCTTATTGTTCCTAATCATTGTGAGTCTTGTTCATCATTATGTTTTTTCTTGACACGGGTTTGAAGATGTTTGAAGCGGAAAACAGATGGACCTTGACATTTTCGACTGACCAAAATTATATGGGGGATTTAAATCAACAACAATGGGCATACGCCTGATTCAACAAACCCACAACTAAGGATTGACAGTAGCCGACAAAATACAAGCCCATACATGAAATCATCAAAACGGGCCAATATGCGGGTACTAGCCAACGCACATGGGCATAACCGCGATAAACCCACCAAATAAAGAATATATGGGTATGTTTCGCAATTTTAGAAGGCCTTTGTTTTCGCAGAACGATGGACTGGTGATTTATTTTGAATGTAACCATCCCGTTAAACGGGGTTGATCTGTCATGGACCATTGGCGGGGATGAAGTGTTCGATGGAATTGGAGACTTGCAGTAAGTGGTAACCCGAATTGTTGAACCGCACAGTCTTTTAAGATGCGAGTTAAACCAGCACTATTCTTACTTCACAATTGTTACAATATGAAAGAACCAAAACCTTGTTGTGGGAATCCCCTAGCAATCCAACCCACCTTTTGGTTTCAATGAATTGTAGGTAAACTCCCTAATTTGTTTAGGTTCAGTATTCTGAACTTCCATCATTTTTGTGGCTCACATCCACTGGATCGTGCCGATTTCTCTCGGCATTTAGCTACGGCCTTTTACACACCATCAAAAGCCTGCAGCATCCTGCAGCAAAACCTCCAATCATCAAACCTCCATTGTAGTAGGCCACTATCATGAAAATCATTGAAAATCCTTAAGTTTTCCATCTTTTTCCAGGCTTCCACATTTTTCCAGGTCCTCAGGTCACACATGTTTGATCATTTTTGCAGGATGGGTTTCGACGACAAGGGCATCGTGGCTCTGTCGGGTGCCCACACCATAGGCCGCGCCTTCAAGGAACGTAGTGGCACGGTGAAGGAAGGCTATGGAGAGATCCTTGGCCATGGCCATAGTGATCCAGTGGATTTGGGAAACACCAGTTCCATCTGTAAATTTAAATGTTTGTGTAAACAAATTGGATTCCGAATGTTTTCATGGGCAGGCGGGCCAAGGAAAACCTTCCCGGAGGTGGTCTAAAATACCAGCTCGTTCATGAAAAAATCCATATATTTAAATGTAGTTACCGTAATTTTAATTGGGAATTGGCGTAGGAGCTTCAGGGAAAGTTTGCAGAACCATTGTTTCTGGTGGATTTCCATTGCAACAACCCAGCGATTCGTGGTTCCTAATTCGTATCCTTGGATGTGTGATGTGGAGTGTTCTGAAAATTGCTCCCCGAAAATCCAAAGTTTATCATCATTTCTAGTAACTAGTAAACATCATGGATTTTAATCCATAAAATCAATAAAACGAATCTGCGTTTATCACTCAAATATCTCCAAGAAGTGGGGAATCTTCCAATCCCCCCATGGCTGAGGAGTTCGGGTTGCCCCTACACGGTTTCCATGCCCAAGAGCTGTCCTATTCGCAACGATGGTGGCTATGGAGTTGGGACGCTATGGCTGTTTAGGTGGGAGCCATGGATTGTTTTTTGTGGAGCCCTAAAAAGTTGACCCTTCATCCCGCAGCAACCTGGCAAAGATGAAGATTTTGGATGAAACATATGAGGTTTTTCACCAAAAAGATGGCTGCAAAATGCTGCAGGGTTTGAAAATTCGCATGAGACCACCTATGTTTAGGGTGACCAAAGATTTAAGGCACCCTGGTGAACATATCAAGCAGGATGAAGAACATACTTTTTTGTCATCGGATGAATCGAGCCTTGGCCGGGCATGGCCGGGGGGGTATTTTCTGCCTGGTTGAAGCCTGTTGAACCCAGGATGCCGGGCGGCAAATCCTGGACCACCAAGTGGCTCAAATTCGACAACGTGCCTTGACCGCTAAGCCACCTTTCGCGTCTTTCGCATACCTTGGGGAAAGGTCAGGGGTTTTTGAGGTCAGATGTTCCAATTTTTTTTTGGGGGGGCTCTATATAGCCCAAATTTTACTGGTGAGGCCTTTTTCGGAAGCATCTGGTATCATCTGGTGATGTACAGAATCCATCTAGATCCTATATCAACATGTGTATAATTGGCTCAGCTGCCCTACACAAAAGCAGCGCCCGCAACATCACTGGCGGACAAGATCGACATCCGAAACGTGCGACGTGCGCCCCAATGGGATGGGAGCAGTGGTTGGTGTGAAGAGCAGTGATTTGTCATAGCAAAAAATCATCGCAACTTTGAGAGGGGAAAGCCTGATAAATCAATGTGTTTTCTCTCCCATCAGTTTTTTTCAACAAAATTTGCCATCAGTCTTCAAGATCGGAGCAAGGCAGTTCATGACTTGGCGCAGTGCTTGTGCGCATTCCAAGGCTTTTGGAATGCTTCATTGCCACTGCGCGACTGTCGATTATCAGATCATACACAACAGGTATACCTCATTGACTCCCGGAATAGGATGACGAAGCACCATCCTGAGGTGCAAAAAGAACTTATAAAAGTCGTTTCCTGTAGCTTTTCCCCACAAAAGCCACCCAATGACCCAATGATTGGCCGGATAATCTCCTTCAGCCGACGGCAAACGTTAGCGGGTCCATGGGGTCCATGGGGTCCATGGGTGAACCCGGTGCCGGCTTCAGACGTTTTTCGCATTTTATTGTGCTCAAAACAGGGGTTTCAGAGATGTAAAACGACCAAAGCCTAATTGACAGAGTATGATGCAGTTCATGGAACCAAATCCCAGAGAATCATTAAAAATTCAGGCAAATCTGACAGTTAAACAATCAAGCATAAGTCATGCAGATGACGCACATTGAAGTTTTGGCCTTTTCAAAGCATGCCGTGGCGTTTTGACCTGAGCAAAGAACTCTTGGTGCACGTACTGAACCTTTCGACGGATGCCTCTGTGCTGCACTTTGCAGCGGCTTCTCGTGCGGTGAGGAATGCAGTGGAAGAATGCAGAGAAATAGGTAGCGCATGTAGCGCTGGAAGTCATGGCCCATGGCGACATCCACCAGCTACTTGGGAAGTCTCTGGACTCTGGAGATTTCTGGGCTTGGGAGACCTGAAGAAGATTCCAAAGGTGACCTTATGCTGTGAAACAGAGTTCCAGCACAGCGCCGAATTGTTGGCCTTTCTTAAGGCCGTCAAGGCCCTTGCAGCCGACACGGTTGATGGCCATGTGACTTTCAGCAACTTTTCGTTCCCTCCCACAGATGCAGCAGAGCTTTTCCATGGAGAAGACGAGTTCATGACCACATCAGGCCAGGTAGCGACGGTAGTTTTCAATGGCTATCACATCGAATGCTCAATAGATGCCCACTTGTGGATACATGAGGGCGAAGTTCCTACAATTAATTTGTGGGTGCATGAAAATGAGAAGGGCGCCTTGCCTGAGAATCTCTTGATTTGCTGCAGCAGCCTGCTGGCACCAGAACTCAGGCTACTTGCAAGTTGTGGAGAAAACATGTCTGAAGAGCTTGATCTTGATTCAGAGTCTCCTTTTACAGAGTTGGTGCGCGCAAGCAAGCCGTTACCAATGTTGTTAGGTGTTCGGGGCTTTGCGTCAAGCGGGTAGAAGCTTAGAGCTTCCCTTGGAGCAAAAGGAGAGCGTTCTGAATCTGCAGCTGCCGAGGTTGGGGGGGCCCTGGGGTGCCCTTGAACAATCCTTGGCGCTATCGCACATGAACAGCACCCCCCCTTTGCGCACCAGGTACAAGCTCTGAGTTATGGAGCTCCAAAAGTGGAAGTAAACGGCTTCCAAACAAGCACTGTCTTTGGGTTAGTCATCTCCTTTCTCTTGCATTGGCAAGCAGGACAAGAAGCACAACCAATTTCAGTTTTGGGATGTTTTGGGTGTTTCTTCGAAGGTATACAATGATACACTTAATCTTGGAAACCAAACATGTACATGATGCTTCTGCTTTTCTTTGCTGCGATGGTTTAGATTCTAGATATGATATGATACGATATGATATATTGAATCATATATACACGTTTTAACGTTGCATGATGTGTGGTATGCTGTCGTGCTAATATAGGGATTGCGAGGATGAACTTGGGTGTTGCTTGCTAGTGGGTATAATTCAAGACCCAAGTCACCACAGATTGGCTGATCAGTTTTAGAAAGCTATGAACCAAGCATTTTTTTTGGGGTATCCAAGTTTCATCCCCACTTGTCGGAGCTACTGTAATCTCCTGGAAGCTGATCCATGCTTCATCTCCCAAGTCCATGAAATTCCGAGGAATATTTTCAGCCAGCGGTCTATGAAGAGAAAGACAAGGATCTTCTGTGGCTATCTTCCGATCGATGTCTTCACCAAGACGAGGGATTCAAGCAATACTTTATGCGCCTTGCCTATCCGGGCAGATCGATGGCCCAGAATCGGAGGCGAAGCGGCAAAAATATGCAAACATGTACCATATGTACCATCTGTAGCTGTGCATAAATGATTTCCCGATTTCGATAAAAAGCTAGGGTTTTTGCAGTTCCCACTTTTGATTGCCAGGGTACTAAAACTGACCAAAGCATACCAAAGCTTGTCAGTGAGTCTTTGTGCCCTTTGTGCTCTGTAGTATTGTCATGTCAAGATGTGATAATTTCCCAGTTTATTTTGTGTCTATTCATCATTTATTCGTGGTGAACTAGTAGTGAAATCCGTGCTTACAAGGTGACGTTTTCTAGTGCATCACTGGTAGAGGTGTAACTGGGAAAACCGCTGGGACACATGGAATTCTGCAAAGGTTCTCTCATTTTACTGTCAAGCCAACTCACGAAACATAGAAGATCCTACTGGTCCGAGAGGAGTTTTCTTTTTTTTAAAAATAACATTTGGAATTCCGGAGCCCAAATCATAAATTTCTGCAGTACCCCAGCGTTGGTCCAAGGCTCTACAAGGACGATCAAAGCGCTTTCTTCCGAGACTTTGCGGAAGCGTACAAGTGACCTGACCTGGTTGGCTGGTTGGATTCTGGGAGCAAAGAAGGGGAAACTCTATGGACCGCAGCCAGCAAAAATGTGGATGGTTGCGAAATCCTGCACCAGTTGATATCTATAGGTTTCAACATGTTTCAACCATCCTTTTGGTGGTGCAGGATTTCGCAACCATCCACAGTTTTTCATATGTCAGTCCATTTTGGCTGGAACGTCCACGCATAACCATGATCTCACATCCCACCTGGGCCTTGAGGCAATTATCAGAGCAGGGAGCCCAATTTGAGCCAGAGGCAGGCGTCACACTTTAGGGCAGCAAAGAAAAACACCACACCAACGGGGTGATTTGAAGCAGCGGTTTGAAAAGACTTGAACATATCTAGTCACCTAGTCTATTTGCCGGGAAAGATGACATAAGATGACTCAAGAGATTTATCTGATTTGAAGTGGGGTCGAATTTTTCAGCAGTGCTATGAAACAGTGATAATCCTTTCAAGAATGAAACATCACAAATTCGCGTGGAGACATCATAGTGGCTGCCTAAAATGGTAGCCGCTTTTTGACTGATGACTTGCAGTTGTCAGACATATCTGCATTCGACAGAATTGTCGAATTCCACTGAAGGCCACACGAAATGTTGAGTCGAGAGGTCCAAATCAGAAGTGCCTCACGTAGTGCAACACTGACATGTCCATCCCAAGAGAAACCTTCACTTACGATCACTTCTGAATATATATATATATATTATACAGTATATACATTCTGTATATATATATACACACTATATGTACATATATATATACATTATGTAATATGTATATATATATATATATGTATATACTATGTGATATTACAATATATTATGTGTATATATATATAGATATGCAATGTAATGCGATGCACTGCACTGCAATGTCATGTACATAATGTGTGCAATGTATAGATTCCCATGGGAATCCTGGGGAACATCCAACAAGCTCCAGGAGCTTCGGGTTAACCTCCAACCTGATAGGTTAATGGGTTATTTTTTGCCATTTTGATACGTATTTTGATGGCAACTTCGACCAACCAGCTGTAACATTAACATATGAAACCATTCTTGCAAGATGCGAGGCCCTTGGTTGTGCCCAGTGGTGGATTTCAGGTAGCAACAAAACAAGGGCCTTAACATTTCAGCAATTTCAGCAATCAAATGGGCTTGAACCCAGCCAAACGTGCACAAGACATGAGAAATCCCACGCCCAGGGCCTTCACAGTTAACACCCCGGCCTGATGAATTCGTGGAACTTTTCGAGTTTTCAGGATCCAGATCACGCTTCTGAAGCCCAGCAGATGCCACGACTAGGAAGCCAGATCCTCTGGTAATCTAAGATGGCTGATTGGGAAACCAATCATGATGCGGCCACATCTATATTGGAAAAGCATCCATAAACGGATACTTTGATGATAGGAACAAAACATCATCCCTGATGTGAAAATCGCTATGAATTACTACAACCGGTGATTTTGTTGTGGAAATCCACATGTTGAATTGGAAAATCATCCAATGGATATGGTGATTTTGTTGATTCCCTCTGTCCACTGGGCATTGCTGGGGACCTTCAGAGGGGACAGTTCAACTCCGCTGATGGCGTGGGAGAAAATCATCGCAGCCAGTGGTGAATTATCGACCTGACTGAGGACACTATGGCGACTATGGGATGGGGGAATACTTTTCACTTTTCAGTCACCAAATCTTTCAGGAGGTCTTATCAGCCAGGACCTGAAGATACCTGAAGTGAAGGGTACTGGTAGGTGACTCACTTGGGTGATATAACAAGGAACAGATGAGGGAACATCATATGATGCTGCTGCACAGTTACAGTTCCTAAGTTTACAACCATGTTGAGAGTGGATATGAACCAGTCACACGTTGCAAGGGGTGGGAAGAGAGAATCTATACTGTAAACATACAATACAATGTGATGTACATTTAGACAGTGTATATATATATATATATTATTTATAGACAAAGATGCAACAGGAGTGGTACGTGTCCGATTTCGTATTATGAAGCAAGAATTGAAGTGCGGATCACTTGAGCCCGCTACCAATTAACCAATCAGATTTTCGGAAGGTTGACCAGGTCTATTGGGAAATCCTTCCTTTTTGCTGCTGAAATATCTTCAGTTTTTATGGTTGAAGTTCCCCCAAGAGATCATCCCAACCATATTTTTTGGTATGAATCCAGTATGCTGAGCAGCATCTCCCACCCACGATTATTCATTGTTTCAATCATATCAAATCCATTCAAATTCCTTTTTTGGATTGAATTTATCTGAATTCACCCGAATTCCAATTTTTTGAAAAGTTCAATCACAATTTTTCTTGCTTAATCGGTTCAAAAACTCATCCCATCCGTCCCTCAGCTCGCACCATCTGACACCTGTCCTGGACACTGAGTCGTGATCCAACGCGCGCGCGATGTGGGCGTCAGCGCATCAGAGGATTCCTGTGCAGCGCTGGTGCAGAATCACCTGAGAGAGGCGAGTGCCTGAGGGGGGCTGCGATTGAGAATGGGCATGGTAAAGGGGGATAAATAAACTATTATAAACTCTTAAAATGTTTCTGAATATACAAGAATATTGGATGAACCAGGCTGATTTCACTCCAATAAAATGGGCTTCACCTCTCTATGAGATGGGAAATTGCTGTTTGATGTTTTTGCAGCCGAGTTTTGGGTTTGTTCTAACCGGGAAAACCAAGGAAGGACATCTGGATCCATGCGGGAAAACCAAGGAAATTCAAGCAACAACAAGGGGCAACTTAAATGGGTACCCTCCGGTTTCATCAAACGTGGCTTTTTTGAAATCCGCAGAAATAGTTTGATGAATTTCCCATCAACACCTCCATCAGGGATTTTCCAGCAAGCTGCAGTTGATTACCAGAGACCAGAGGGTAGATTCACCAGCAAATACCAGCAATGATGGGGACCGTGAAGGATCTAACAGGAAAAACATGGGAAAGGATAGGGTAAACTGAGCGAATACAAAGCAGCAACAGTGGGGATGCTTCAAAACTCTTTACCACAAAGGTTGGTGGTTAGTTCAGTCCTTCGAGCCTATCTTAGTCTCTACAGTCTGTGGGACAATACAAAGTTTGACACCTACATCCTCAATAAAAATCAAAGTGAACCAACACATTTTTGAACAACAACAACAACAACAACAAAAACAACAACAACAACAACAACAACAACAACAACAAAAACTCACTGGCATGTTCAACCACTCGCAGCAGAAATGGAATCCCGGACGATGAGATGATCCCAGTTGAAGTGGGACAGCAGCGGTCCCTGAGATGGCCCCCATTGAAGGACTGGATAGTTTTACGTCCAAAGGACCACGCCATTTGCAGGTCCCTTGTTGTTGGGACCGGCCACCTGTTTTTTAACGGCTGATGAAGCTGTGAGGCTCAAGTCTTGTTCAGGATTATTGACTATTGATGTTATTGTTATTCTATTGGCTATGCATCACGATGATTATAACTTTCAAACCACGTTTTTGAATGTTTTTGATGGCTATCCGGCTATCCGATTATCCCATGATCTTTTCATCTTTTCAATATGATCGGGGGGAATGGGATCAGACACGTCGGTTAACGTGTCATAAGTGGTGTCCGTCAAAAACGTTCAGGTGTACTTAATCGTGATCTATTGTTGGTTGATTCCTTATGTTATTTAGGTGACTGGTCATGTTCAAAAACATAAGCTCCAAAATGCCCGGTCTTCAATTTTGCTGGTCATTTTTCCGCACCAAATTCCTGTTTCTTTCGTCAAATGTCTCCCAACAGCCGCGACAGGTGCACCAGCGTGCTTTGCGCGCCCTACAGGATTGGAGTGGACCCTATGCGGCCATTCTCTCAGACGATTCAAACATGGTATATAAATTAATCATTCCACATGGCAAGCAATTTGGCTATGGATCAATACCTATAAATACCATTTTTAGGGGGATGAACATCCATTTACCAGCTATTTTGATGTTCACCAGGGGAATAGGGTTTTGACCCATCCCCATTTCATAGTCTGATTAATTTAGGTTTGAAACTTGTTTGTCTGAAGTTGTTTCAAGGAAATTGTAAATAGTCATTGCTTCCTTTTGCCTGACATTAACATCCCATTGATGATATTCTGGGTCAAACTTCAACACCACAGTTCACAACAGATAGATCACGGGCAAACATGGTTGATGGGTTTCCGTTGTACATATTCTACATATACATATTATATATATATGCTGTGCTTATATATATATATACATCTATATATATACATATATATATATTTACATATATATATATTTACATATATATATACATATATATATACATATAAACACATATATATAATCATATATACAAACATGTATATATATATATATACAAACATATACATATATAAACATATACATATATAAACATATACATATATAAACATATACATATATAAACATATACATATATAAACATATACATATATAAACATATACATATATAAACATATACATATATAAACATATACATATATAAACATATACATATATAAACATATACATATATACATATATACATACATACATACATACATACATACATACATACATACATACATACATACGTACACAGACAGACAGACAGACAGACAGACAGACAGACAGACAGACAGCTTAGCTGTTTCGTCACTCGCGTGCTGGCACTCAGCACTCGCGTGCCAGCACTCGCGTGCTCAGCACTCACTCCAATGCATTTTTCCTGGTGTGCATCCTAGTAAAAATGTTTATCTTGATTTAGATAGTGGATGCTTTTATTGGAATAGGAAAAATGCATTGGAGTGACGATAAGCATGATATATCATGAGATACTCATCACATTCATGAGAGCCACACGAGTACCTCCAAGTGGCGTTGATTTTTTCAACACCCTGAAATAATTTCCACTTCTGGAGGGAACGGGGAACCCCCAGATGCTTTTTTTGGGAAGCGCAAAATGCATCCGGACGTCAGGCAGATATTCGCACGTTACCGGATGTTTTTTTTTCACAGAAAAGTAAATGCACCGAGGTATGAATAGGATAATAAAGCCTAATGCGTTTCGAACTTGCGATTTACTAGCCCTGTAAGGTCTAAAATTTATATGGATGTTTTTTTCGGATCTAGTTAAATGCATTTACATATATCACAATGCTAAAAACCCACTGTGTGACGAACCTGCGTGCTAGCACTCAGCGTTGCGCGTGCTGCGTGCTGGAGCTGCTAGGACAGACAGACATACATACATATATATATATATATACATATATACATATATATATATGTATATA